CCTTATAGCTATCAAGACGCAACCACCATAGTGCACAAATGGAGACTTGGGGCTACTACCACATACAAACACCATTCATGTGCGATGTGTAGTTATGGCTGAAAAGTGAAATATAGGGACACACATGTCCATTTATATATATATATATAGATATAAACTATAAAATTTCTTTTTCCCCATTTATTATTTTTCCCCCTGTTATTACGTTTAAGCTGACCTAAGGAATAAATTGACCAAAGATCTGAAGAAAAATGAATTACTTCTGTCATTTGGACATGATTTCTCTTTATAAGAGATCAAGTTACTGATAAACAAAAAATATTCTTAGCAGAAACGACGTAGGATATTTAAATTAGATCAAGAAGTTTCCAATAAAAAAAGGAAATTTAATTCTTTTTTTTTTCTTCTTCTTCTTCTTGTTCGTTTTTCTACACGAGAACTAGTCTTGTTAACATATTCAGATAAAAGTTTTTAAGGATAATAAATAATTGTAACTCCGAGAAAAACCTATAAAATATTTATTAAATAATGCAAACACGGGCTTAAAGAAAATGCGTTTGAATTTATTGAATTTATATTTATTTATTTATTTTTATTTTCAATTTATTTGCATATCTTTGAGTAGAATCTGATGCATTTATTTCTCATTCGCTTAGTGCTTTAGCATGAATTTCTTTTTTCCTCTTCTTTTTTTTCTATGTTTTTAACAATGAAGGGAAAACGACTTTAAAGAGGGGGAAAAGGGGGAATTAATGTTAAAATCAGCTGTTTATTCGGACACATTATTCATTCTTTTCTGATCAGCGATAGTTTCATGGTTTGTTCCTGGCATACTGGGAAAGTCCCATCAGCCATTCGTCAGAAACAGAGCTGGTAGTGAGCATGCTCGGTTCATCTGCTCCGCGCATTCTTTGTCTTGCAGGCACGACAGCTTGCAGGCTGCTGCCTCACAGTAAACAATGGACGAACAGAGTTGATTTCCGATACTGGGTCTCGCTATTTTCCACCCGACTAAATTTTTCTCTATTCGCCATTTGCCGCACTGCAAGATAGAAACGTGGAGAACACACCATGCTCCGTCTGAATGGAAGGCGAACGGATGCGATGGATACCGTTCAAGAGGGAAAGACGTAATTTATACTATTCAACTAACGTTTGGACACTATGTTGGAATACGGACTTTCCGTTACACTGTATCTACAGATATTTGCATATCATAAAGTATCCTGAGTGTTTATATAACAGCTGAGGAGCTAAGAACAAAAAATAATAATAATATGTTTTTCCTAGGAATGAAACCATTGATTTTTACTACTTTAATTTTGGCTTGGTGCCAGCACGTGCTCGCTGATAGGCGTCCTAGTAAAAGTGTGGTGACCACCAAATATGGTGAGTTACGTGGTACCATTGTGACTTTTCCCAATCGACGTCTTCAACCCGTCGAAGTATTTTTGGGTATTCCGTATGCAAGTGCACCTGTAGGTTCCCTACGATTCATGCCACCTGTGACCCCATCTCATTGGAAGGGTGTGAGGAATGCGGACCAATTTGGTTCCGTCTGTCCTCAACGTCTTCCGGATATTGCCAATGAGACAGAGGCTCTTCGCAGGATGCCTTGGGGTCGACTTCAATATCTTCGACGTCTGCTCCCTTATCTCGTCAATCAGAGCGAAGATTGTCTCCATCTCAACATCTATACGCCCGCATCTGGTGAGTAAACTTTAAGGAAACTTATTCATAAAGATTTTCTGTTTTTTTTAAATTTATTTTTACACTTTCAAATTTATTATTATTATTTTCTCTTACTACTTTCTAAAAATAACAACGTAAGAAAAATGAAAAAAAAGTAAAGGAACAAAAATAATAATCCGAAAATCTAGAAAATATTACCAGACTTAAAAAATAAAACAAGAAATATATCACAGTAATAGAATCATAAATCAAAAAATTGATCATAAACACTAAAAATACAACAAACATCGGAGGGAAAAAAAATTACAAGGAAAGATATATAAAAAGTATTAGAAAATAATTAATGGATATATTAAAAACAATTTAACTTGTAATATATATTTTTTTTTAATTTACGTAGTGCAAATTTTTCTTTTTTCTTTTTCTATATTTCGATCCGAAAAAAATATATCTTACGAGAGATATAACAACTCTTGGCATCCCGTTACGTCTTCGTTCTCAAGTATCTTTTGGTTGTTGGAACGAAGGAAAAGATGCAATTTTTGAAAAATGATAGAAAATTTGACAGTCAGAAAAATGACAACAATCCAAATAAATTTATAGCAATACATTGACAATCTTGTCAAACGAAAGTTTAGAAACCTAATTATCCGTAATAAATATTTATAATTTNCATTAATATAAAGAGTTATATATATATAGAAAGACTAAATGGAAGGAAATAGTAAAAAAAAAAAATTATTTCTTTCGATTATCTTTATATCCAAGACGGTCATTATCACAGAAAATCAAGCTTACTGGACATAAAACGAGTTTTATTATCCTCTACCAAAATAAGTAAAACGAGTTAAATACAATTTAACAGTTAATAAAAAATAATTCGCAAATTAAAAAAGCTTTTTATGTCATAATTTTTAAATTTTTGATTGTTGAATATTGAATAAAATATATATATTTTATATTATATAAAAAGAAGGAGGAAGAGGAACCATTTGGGAATAGTAAGAAGAGAAAATGTAAAATGCTTTATTCTAAAACCTAGTAAAATTTGTATGAATAAAAAATTATTTCGGCTATAAAAATAGAATTATTATTATTTTTTTGGTTTATTCCTTCTTATAAAAAAATAAATAAATAAGTATAATTTTCTTAATAATGAAATTTAGCAATTACTCTCTGAAATTTGCTTCACTTATCCATTCGTAACTAGTAATATAAAGTGCAATATCTTAATGTGCATTGCAACAATAATCATCCAGGATTTTACGACGAACATTCACGTTTATGATCCTGTCTTCAGTAACCGTGTGCGATAAATTACTCGGGATAATTCAAAATCAGTAAAATAATTATGATATTTAATTGATAATTCGCTTTGATGAATAGTTTATTTATTTAAAATTGAAAGGTGCTTTCACTAAGATTATTATCTTAAGTTCCTGTTAGATGTATACTTATAAAATTATGAATTTCCGAATATTTTATATTAAGACATTCGCTTAAACTAACAACCAATGGTAATGTTATGGATGATATGATTTTATCTCTCTCTCCCCCTCTCTCTCTCTCTGCTTCTCTCCCTTTCTCTATCTCTCTGTCTCTATTCTATTACCTTGATTTTGTATTATTCGATTCGAGATTGTTTTAGATAATAAATTTGAAATTGGATGAAATTATGTAGAAAAAATCGAGCCATAAACCGTAAAATTAATGAAAAGAATACAATACTTGAAGCTTATAAATGTAAAGTATTATGCATCATTTATCATAAAATATGAAGTAATAAAATTTTAAAGAATGTTTTAAAAAATTTATTGGAAAAAAAGTAAAATTATTTTCACTTTTTCATTGATTTGCTTTATCAAATTTCGTATTTATAGAAAGCAATTATCATAAAATATTCTTGTTAAGTGTATAATTAATCAAATATCATAGAAGAAGTATATATTTTGTTAAAGTTATGTAATTTATCTTATAATATAATAATTTAATATAAATTTTACAATTTTCTATTATTAATTTATTTTTGTTACACGCTTAATTATTTGTTAATACAATATACATCAGGTGATCATAATTAAAGAGCAGGCAACTCAAGTGTCCGTAGAAAGAATTATTGGGCAAATCTCAACCACATTTGGTATATATATACTGTCCTGAATATGGGTTCTGATTTCCGTGAAAAAATATTTTACTTCAAAATTTAGCCGCTAGAATGAAAATTGGTGCTGCAATCTCCTTAATGTACTGTACAGTATATATTAAAATATGTTTTATAACGAATCCCGCAATTCAATTCCGCAATTCAATTTCACAATTCACATCTGTAATTGCATGTGTAAATAAAGTAAAATTATTACAGTTTGTTTCTTAACTCTCGAAATTTAATAGACAGTAATGGAAACAGTAGCACCAATTTTCGCCTAGCGGCTAAATTATAAAGTTACGTTTTTTCCCCGAAAATCGAAGCAGCATACTCAGTACAGTACTTATATTAAATTTGGTTGAGATTTACCAGATAGTTCCTTCTACAGACTGCTCTGAACACCTACTTTTTAATTATGATTATCCTTTATATCGTATATTAAAATGTAATTCACCTACTGAAATAAATTCAAATTAGAATAAAAAGAAATAATATATATATATATATATATATATAAAATACGGTATATGAATCATTTTTCCCCATATGATTACATGTAAAACCAAATAATTTGTTCCAACACGAAANGTTACAATAAAAGAAATCAAAGTTAAAATATTATTTTTATATATTATATTTTGAAAAAAATATTTAAAAATCTACTATTAAATAATTATTTTATTAAGGTAATATTATTTATTTTTTTCTATATTAGAACGGAGAAAAAAAAATACATTTTTATGTGTAAAAATTCCATAAAAATTGTAGTAAATAATTTTATTAAAAATTTATACAGTTAAATTTGCATGAAGAATATCTGAAATGCTTTTTTCCAGATTTTTTTTTATTATTTTTTAATATTCCCCCTCCTTTTTTTTATATTGCATCTATCAGCAGAAATATAGAAAAGGAATGGTTTCGTTTTTCAAGTATTATAAAATGACTTTGGATTTAAAGAACATTTCTTTTTGGTATTTGATTCCATGCATATTATTGATTTGGAACCGGTAGACTGTAAAAGTGTGATTGTTAGCAGTCGAGTTTAAGACAAGAGAAGAGAGAGTGTTGCTCCTGTTCTCAACTAATCCCCGATCGTCGTAAATTTTATAAAACTTTGCTACGACTAAAACTACAATTCCTGAAGCTATCTTAAATACTTATAAGTATTTTAATGCTAAATATAAACGAATTATCGAAGTAAAATATAATAATCGTAAAAGATAATTCCTAACCTTACTTTCTATTAAAGTATTTGCTTTTCCAGGTCGATTTTGATCTGCTTATGAATTATTTACCAAAGATATTAAGGTTAACAAACGCCAAACTGTTCGAATTTACAATAAACTTCTTAAAGCAGCTATTTTCTAAAATTATTTTTTTTTATTTTTATTTTAAAATGCGAAAGTTTAAAATGTATTTTGGATAGTTTGCTGTTACCAGAAGAGTTTCGTCTTTTTTTGTTTAAATANCCCTCCTTTTTTTTATATTGCATCTATCAGCAGAAATATAGAAAAGGAATGGTTTCGTTTTTCAAGTATTATAAAATGACTTTGGATTTAAAGAACATTTCTTTTTGGTATTTGATTCCATGCATATTATTGATTTGGAACCGGTAGACTGTAAAAGTGTGATTGTTAGCAGTCGAGTTTAAGACAAGAGAAGAGAGAGTGTTGCTCCTGTTCTCAACTAATCCCCGATCGTCGTAAATTTTATAAAACTTTGCTACGACTAAAACTACAATTCCTGAAGCTATCTTAAATACTTATAAGTATTTTAATGCTAAATATAAACGAATTATCGAAGTAAAATATAATAATCGTAAAAGATAATTCCTAACCTTACTTTCTATTAAAGTATTTGCTTTTCCAGGTCGATTTTGATCTGCTTATGAATTATTTACCAAAGATATTAAGGTTAACAAACGCCAAACTGTTCGAATTTACAATAAACTTCTTAAAGCAGCTATTTTCTAAAATTATTTTTTTTTATTTTTATTTTAAAATGCGAAAGTTTAAAATGTATTTTGGATAGTTTGCTGTTACCAGAAGAGTTTCGTCTTTTTTTGTTTAAATATTTAATTTTTTTATGTTAAAATATTGTTTGTAAGATCATTCAACCGGCTGTTTGTCTAAGTTTTTTTCTATGTCTGTCTGTCTGTCTGGTGTATCTTATTAATAACTTCTAAATTGATGTATCGACCTAGATTAATTTTGGAAATACTTTAGACAGTTATATTAATAAATAAAGCTGTTACTTTTGAATATATTTTTTTATACATTAATTGTTCTTATATTTATTAATCTTTGCGAATTACTTTATATATTTTCTTATTTTATAATATAACATTTTAATCAATTAATAGGATTTAATTTCCCAAGGCATGTACTATACATTAATTCTTTAATTTAGTTTCATTTTAAATTAATTATAATCACGTTTTACTTTTGTCTAAGCACTGAAAAGTATTCTAGAATATATATATATATATATAAAAAAACACATTTGTAATTTATTTTCGAAGTTTGTGATTAGTTAAAATTAACAAATAATTACAAATAAACTTCATTTAAATGTACATTAACGACAGAAAGAATAAAAATAAAGTTAGAAAATATCTCCATATTTTTACGTTCAAATTACTAGAATCCAAATTAACCGTGGCATAAATAATCCAGTATTAATACGATAAATCTAACATAACGGAGTGTAAATTAATATTTTATTGATAGTAACTCACTGTAATGTTTATATACTGTCCAAATGTTTAGTTCAAATATTAATTCACATCGTTTGCTTTTGCGTTATTCGACCAGATTAGAAAGACCATAATGATTTTTTGGCACGGGGAGTGACACCAAAGCAACTTATAAAT